TGGAACTTTCTGGAAATGGTTCCTTTGGGTTCAGGATCCATAGCTCCTCCCAAATGAGCTGCAGTCCCCACAGCTCACCGGCCTGGGAACAGTCAATAAAGAACTGGGTGGCCATCTGTCCTCACTGTGTGGGGTGGGCTGCACAAGAGCCTGGCAGGAAGGCACTTCTGTTGGGGGGAACTCAGGGGTCAGATCCTCACCTGGGGCTTCCCCAGGGCTGGAAGTCCGGGCGTGCAAGGACCCCAGATCTCACACCTGCAAAACATATCGTCACACACTGCCTCCAGGGGAACCCCACGGCCTTGTGTCATGGATGAGGGCAGAGCATGCCCAGAGCACACAGCCAGGACTTGTGCCTGGGAGGGCCCGGCACACAGGCCAGCACAGGCACCGCAAGTATGGGAGGGCCTCAGCCTCCTCCTCCTTGGCGTGGCCCCCTCCAACTCTCTGCCCCTTAACTCCACCCCTGACTTGGGGTTTCTGCCTGAGCCAGGCTGCCTCAGCCTCTCCCTCCCAGCAAGTTTCAGACCAAGCCCGCCCCTGACCTACAACGGACCAGGGTATGCCTCAGGCAGTCTCAGCCACACCCACATTTCCAGGTGCTCACTGGTCCCAGGAACCCCCAGGGGGCAGGCCAGGCAGGGTGGACTCTGAAGCCTGATGCGCCCCGTGTCCTTGTGTGCAGCCGGGGTTGGCCTGGCTTCGTCCTGCTGCTCACCCAGGTGCACTGGGGTAGGGTCCCCAAGCAGACCGGAGGCCGGCCACCCCGCAGTGCGCATGGCCACCAGGAGAGACGGGTATTAATAGGACACGTCACATCATAGCCACCGTCAGCACAGGAGCTGAGAAGGCCAGAGGGTCTGAAACCTAGAAAGCAAAACAGGGAGAGGCCCATCCAGAGGAGGCCAGAGAGTCGGGGCCGATATGCAGGGCCACGTGAGTCAGCTCAGAGGTTCTGGCCTGTGTCCCGAGGGCAGCCCTGTCTTGGCTGAGTTTCCCCAGAAGCAGACACGGAGATGAGAATTCAGGTACAAGTACCATCCAATGGCGGGTCCCCTGAGCTCCCCACGCAGTCAACGCCCCCCCCCATCTGATTTCCATCCACACAGACTAGTTTTGCAGGTAATTGGAGTTCATGTAAATGGAATCGCACAGTATATTCTCTCTATTGTGTCTGCTTCTTTCGCTTCGTGCTTTGTGGCTGTGGGAGCACAGGGTGTCTTTGTTGCTGGGCTACTCCGTTGTGTGGATAGGTCGCAGTTTGCTCACTGGCCCGCTGCTCACGGACCTCTGGGTGATTTCCAACGGGCCGTTATGAATGAGGCTGTGTGAACATTCTTATACAGGCTTTGTGTGGACATGCTTTCGTTTCTCTTGGGTAGATCACCAGGCTAGGACTGCGGGTCCCACGGTAA